GGGGGGTGGGGAGAAAGTAAATTGTTAACAAAAACAGATATAATAAAGAATTGAGCTCTGTCGCTATCAGTATGTTCGACTTTCCGAAAATGACATTTCGAATCATTTTGATAGATTCTAATAAAACTTTGATAGAACTTAGATAAACTTTGATAAAACATAATAATATTTCGATGGATTTTTATGAAACTTAGATAGAATCTCATAAACTTTGATAAAGCATAATAATAATTCGATAGATTATCATAAAACTTCGATAGATTTGATAAAACATTGCAATAATTCGATAGATTCTCATAAATCGTAGAAACTTCGATAAAACATAATAGAATTTCAATAGATTATCATAAAACTTAGATGTTGTTACAAAGCAAATAGCTTCACTAGTGAGTCATAAATTGAGTCCAAAAATCAATTTTCTATTTTTGAATTTTCTAGTTTTCACTGAAAGGTTTTTAACTTTTATACTTTTACTTCTTCTACCTTGGGAACCCAGCTTTGCCAGGAAGCTGAACTTTCTCTTAAAAAGTCAACCTTCTCAACTATAGAGCCTTAAACCAAGCTAAGAACATTTCAGTGGATCTATAAAATTGCTGTGTCTCATGCTCATTAGACTTTTTAAAGTTATAACTTAATTCTAAAAGTCGTCTTCCTATTTCAGAGTTTTTTGGTTGTCAAAGTAAGTCTCACAGTCGTCTTCCTTTTCCACAGATTTACGGGTCCCACTGTATCTGTTCGTGGTAGATTGTATACGTCCATTGTAAAGTTGTTTGAAGGAGGTTGAACGAATTGTAACGATATTGTTCAGTCTAATCTATAGTAAGTTGGGTTTAATGATAATTGCAGTTGTCTTCAAACTTTACTTTTAGTTTAGATTGTTATCAGCCAACCCTGTATTATGACAATGTACATGTAAAACCTTACATATATATATATATTCCAATTTTACACGTACTAAATTATAGTTTAAATTGCACCCTGCGACCGACGGGTTTCCCGACGCTCTAGCACCCTCGTACGTGAAGCGATCCGGCTGGCATACATACAACTTGATATACTAGTAATATTAAGAACGGAATCAGTTTAAACCACAAATTCGTTATTTTTTCCGATTTTTTAATTTCGTTTCTTATCCATTGAAGGCTTACTTATATTTTCATCAATGATGTTAGTTCCTATATATTTGACAGCATATTTTTGGTCGAAAATGGTAATATTTTAGTTTTGTTATATTTTTGGTCGATATTTTCTTGGCGGTTATATTATTAGTGTTATTTTTGTCCACATCCTAATTTTATAGGGTTAAATACAAGAGTAAATTTCCCTTAAATTTCTTAGAATTAAAATGAAAAATATATATTTTCTTAATTTTATTCTAAAGGTACAGTGTATAGTAACCATTTGCTGGTCTGGGTTTAGGACAAGATTTTACTGATAAACTTGATGGGACACTCAGATAAAACTATAAACGTAGATATTAAAACAAGATCAGGGAAAGAGGGGGGGGGGGGGGGG